TAATAGAGCAGATAAAAGGCAGATTATGTTGGCATAGTCGCCATGTTGATCCAAGAATTGACTTACGTTTGACCACTCATCGGTCTCATTCGCGCAATATGGCCAATTTTTCAAAATTGATTTTTTCTGGGGAAATAAAGGTGCAGATTTTTCTATGTTTACGCAGAAATGGAGCAGATAAATAGCAGATAAATTCTTCCGGCCCTCCCTTTATTTTCAGTCAACTTGAAGGTCACCCCTTTATGACCTTTCCGACTCAATTTAGATTTTTTGTCAAAAATCAATATTTTGAATTTTTTTTTGCGCAGAAATAGAGCTGGTAAATCGATTATTGAAATTTTTCACCCATGGACCTCATTAACGCAAGTTGGTCACCTAGCTTGACGGCCAATTTTCAAAAATCTTATTTTTTAGCGAAAAAAAAAGTGCAGATTTTTTTTGGTTTGCGCAGAAATAAAGAAGGTAAAAAGCAGGTAATTTCGGTAAAATCGCCATCTTGATTGGACGACCTTGGCTGCCCAATTTTATGGGGCTTAGGAGAAAGGCAACAACGGAAATAATTTATAAAGTTGCAATTTATGCATGAGGTTAAATGAGGCATCGATAACTTCATCTTTTTCTCTACATTATCGACCTGTCGGCAACATGGGAACACTGCTGAAATTATCGATGCCCCATTCAACTGCATGCATAAATAGCAACTTCAGAAATTATTTCCGTTGTTGTCCTTCTCCTAGGCTATCTCAGATTTTGCACATGATTTCTTAATACATAAAAGAACGTATTTACAAAAAATTATCAATATCTTGACTTTTTTTTCTCTCGAGACAACGCCATATAAATTCCTTAAAAGGGCAGGAGAGTAGAAAAAAACTACCGATATGCGAGCAAATCTGAGCTCCATAAATTCTCTTCATTTGGTGAGTTCGGAGGCTCAAAAGTTATCACCACCAAATAGCACCACGAAAGTTTTATGGAACAAGTTGAGGGTGATCTGAGGATAAATAATTTTGAGAAATGATTAAAAGTACGAGGTGACTGACAGCTGTGAACGCCGCCATCTTGGAAGTCCCGGGGAGGGGGTATCAAAGCATCATGGCGGCGCCCAGACCTGTCAACCAGCTCGTATTGTTAATTATTTATTAAAAATATTTATTCTCCTCAGACCACCCTCAAATTGTTTCATAACACTTTCGTTGTGCTAAGGATTTAATGATGATAGCTTTTGAGTCTCGAAATTCACCAAACGAGGAGAATTTCTGGAGCTCAGATTCATCCGCATTTCGATAGTTTTTTTTATCCACCTGCCCTCTTAAATATTTTAAAAACTACTCAACGGATCTGATTTTTTCGTGTTTTTAAATACTCGTCTCGACGGCTTCTATCTAGACCAATCAAAATGTTTATACCTATTCGGACAAAATTTTCGAAATATTGCTATTTTTTTCAATTTTTTCATTCTCTTGTACACACGATAACTTGAGAAGATATGAAAGTAGCAAGTTGAAATTTGGTAGGATTGCAGCTCTTACAATACTAAAGGTTGGTATTTTAGATAAGCTTAATCAGCCGAGTAGTTTCGGAGATATTTAACGTATTGTATAAATCTATTTCATTAAGGATAATCGGGCGAGAAGGAAATGTAGGAGGTGAGGCAGAGGGATTTCTATTGTTTCCCTGCAGAAAACCAATCGCTGAACAAAAAAATTTTTCCGTATTACTTTTTTCGCTATTATTAATAAACAATGCTCCTAGGCGACAATCTTTTTCACTCAAAAAATCACTGATCACATGTTCTAAATGTGTATAAAGTTTCATGACTTTGGCTGCATTTTTTCCTTGGGTTTTGCAGTTTTTTTTGGTGATTTCCATAAGATCCCGGGTTAAATGACCACTTTTTCAAAAATTCATAATAAATTAACCATGCTCCCCAGCAGTCTGAAACTTTGCGCACGCCTTTTCCATCATTTAAAGAATACATTAAAAAAAAAGAAAAAAATAGCTGCTTTTTTTCCAACCCTCCCAGCTCGCCCGATTATCCTTAAAAGGTGGAATATTTTTCTGTAGACCCTGTTGCATATGGTTGTATGCAAGGATAGAGAATTGCTATGGATACTTTCGGAAACTTACTACTAATGAAATTGATAGGAATGAAAAAAAGAAAGACGAATAACGCAGAAGTAATGGCCACATGCCTTCTGTCGGATAGGCTCGGACCCCTGCTTGTTTTCGTGAAGATTTATAAAAAAACCTTTGAAAAATTCGCACGTATGTATGTGCGACACACGCACACATTCTCTAAAAACATCATATCTTCATGTTTCATGGTATTCTACATGATTTCCAGGTGAAATTAGAAGAACGTCAAAATGGACTTCTACAAAGCTTCCATTCGTAAGTAAAAACTNCGTGAAATGAAGTTGGCATGGGGCCGTCCATAAATTGCGTAAGGCGATTTTTACCCATTTTTGACCCTCCCCCCCGCCCCCCACGAAAGACATCGTAAGATTCAGTGAACTCCTCCCCCCAAGATCTTACGTAAGATCAGGGATGGATCGTTCACTGAAAATCAGGGTTTCTTACAGTACATAGTAAAATTCTGATGATTCATATGTACATAGTGACAAGGGCCACAAGGTTCATGTTTGTCGAGGGTCAAACGTCGCACCGGTCATACCCAGCGAGAGTCAAATGATGCCAGAATCTTACCTCGTCGAGGTGATGCCTTGCGAGGGTCAAATAAAGCAAGGACAATCTGAGGGGCAGGGATGGGAAGAAAATTACCTCGATTATTTTTCCAACCCAAATAACGGGCAATATAATTGGCCCATTCGACATCACGTGGTACAAGCTACAGGGCTTTCAACTGATAATTTTTTGATAATTTTCTCTGGTAGTTGCTATACAAAAAACAAAACATCATGCAGTCGAATTAACCCCTCATCAAACTGACAGATTGAATTCAATTGTGTCGTTGTGTTAATTATACAATTTTCGTTTCTCAATTGTGAGTTTCGTCTCATGGTCCAATTATATTGCCCGACATTTGGATTGGAAAAATAATCCCCCGAATATCACACGAGCTTCAAAATTAATCGGGCATTTTCCTCAAGCTTCCCTGCATACAAACGAAGTCGTCAAGTTTCATTACATTTCATAGAATAAAACGGTATTTTTTCTGGATTATCTCGAATAGGGAACTCAATTTTTTCGGTTTAGGGGCTCGTGCTTCGCACTCGTGATTTTTCCTGAAAAACTTGACGACTTCGTTTGTATGCAGGGAACCTTGAGGAAAATGCCCGATAATTTTGAAGCTCTTGTGGTATTACAAGTGAGTAAATTACAGAATTTTTTACGTGTAAAAAATTGAGTAAATTACCTGATAAGTTATTTACATTTTTTACGACACATGGCGCCATCTACCGGGATTCGGGGAAACGTATCATTTTTCTCAAGACTTGGTGGCACAAGGGTCAAACATCACAAGAGTAAAATTTGACAATCGTCAAACGTTATGGGGCTCACAAGGTGATGGTCAAATTTTCGCGAGAGTCACAAGGGGATTGTTAAATTTTCAAGAGGGTCAAACGTCACGAGAGTCACGAGAGTCACAAGGGAATAATTAAATTTCACCACAGTTAAACGTCCCCATGGTCCATTCTACGGGGTCCAACGTCACAAGGGAATGAGCAAATCGCACGAGGGCCAAACATTGCGAGGGTAACAAGGGTCAGAAAGGAATACAGTGAAGTTTAATCGCCACCTTGTGACTCTCGTGACGTTTGACCGCCGTGAAATTCGAGCATCCCCTTGTGACCCTCATGACATTTGAATCTCACGAAATTCGACCATCCCCTTGTGACCCATGTGACTCGTGAAATTTGATCGTCCCCTTGTAACCCTCGTCACACATTTGACTCGTGAAATTTGGCCATCTCTTTGTTAATCGTGAGGTTATAATATGAGTTATTTACATTTTTTACATTTATTACGCCCTGTAGGTAAATTACCGGTTTTTTACATCATCGCGTAAGAACCTCCCTTTAGTCCAAGATGCCCAACCCTGCTCAGGGGTCATACGACCGCAAGGGTCAACCAGAAGAGGCATGCAGGATAGTCACAAAGGTCAAATGATCATGAAGGTGAACTACCAATGTGGTCTTGATGATTGACATTTTTTCAGTTTTCAATCAAAACACGAGAACACCGCATATATTCAATAAAATAATATTGATATAAACTGAACAACATATAAAAACAGCAATATAAAAGATATCAACTACTAGTTATTGTGGGAAGTATCTTGTAGAAAATACAATAATGAGTTTTGTCGTGCAGTTTTCGAATTTCGGTTAGTAAAAATTACGTTTTCGAAAAAAAGGCGAACTGAAGGAAAATTCAAAAAAAAAATCTTACGTAAGATTCTTGAGGACCCCCCCCACGTAGGACATCGTAAGAAATCTTTGACCCCTCCCCCCCCCCAAACGTCTTACGTAATTTATGGACGGCCCCTAAACCGAAAAAATTAAGTTTCCTATTTGAGATAATCCAGAAAAAATACCGTTTTATTCTATGGAATGTAATGAACATTGTGAAGAAAACAGTTTCAATCGGATGAAAATTGTGGTGCGAAGAGCATTTCAAAGCCAAAAATACAAAAAAATGACGTGTTTGCCTGGTGTACGGGGTAAAATGGGTTGGGGACGAAATTTTTCTTAGTTTTTACATTCCCCATGATGTATCAAAAGTCGCTCAATAGTAATTTTCACCAACCGAAAATTTTCCAATTTTTTCTGGGTGCCCCTTTTAAGCTTTCAAATCTTCTGTCCGGAAAAAAAGAGAATAAAACAAAATTGTTGATAATAATCGAACAATGAGAAACTTAGAGTAGAATAGCAGAAATGATTAGAATGTATATAAAATGGATGAATTACGAACTGAAGGACTTGCGACAAATAAAGTTGGCAATCAATCATGAATCATGAATAAATTATTCTTACTTTGATGAGTTTCGATGATAATTTAACCTTGGTACCCTCAACATTAACGAGATCCTGATCATCAGCGTTGAGCTGCTTCTCAATCTCTTCCTCCTGCTCCTCAGTCATAGCCACATTGACAGGAGCAGTTGTCAAGCTATTCTGATAAAGTGGGCAGGCCTTGTTAGTCCTCATGTGACCAACATTGCCGCAAGCACCACATTTTAACTTTAAATCTGGTTTTAGTTTAGGCTTTTTACGTTTGGATGGAGTAGTCTCAGATTTGGGATGTTTAGAAGCTAAAGAAGTGGATGGAAAGTTATTGAATGGAAGGATACTGGTTGATGTGGTAGTTGGGGTATTGGTATTGCTACGATCGAGCATGCTGGAAGTGGGAGGGAAACTGTTGGAAGACGTGCCACATCCGTGCGATTTTTCACGTTCCTGATTCCTCTTGATTCGCCTCAGTTGCTCTTGGAGTCTCCTTTTTTCCCTCTTCATCTCTTCTTTCTGCTGTTCGTCAAGTGTTGCGAACTGTTTGATAAAGGTTTCGTCCTTGGAATTTCTTATTTTTATGTATGTGTCAATGACTGCGGGCTTTCGGACTATCTCAGCCCGAGTGTATTCCTTTCCATCAGGATCTCGGAATGTACGGTAAATTTTCAAGACTCGACCTGATTGAGTATTGAATCCCTGGCCCTGCTCCCTGCTATCCTCTTCGTCATCCTTCTTCTTGTCTTTTGGTTTTTTGCCCTCTTGTTCTTGGGTCTCACCCATCAACATTTTCCTCAACTCCTGTCTCTGTTGTTCTTCTCTCTCTAATGAAAGCTGCGAGCTTGTTTTTTTGTTCGATAACATATTCTCGATATTTTTACCCATTTCTTCGATGTCTGAACTGTCTTCGTCTGAACTCTCACCCTCGTCAGTACTTAGCACTTCAGCAGACGAGAGCACTCGATTCTGAAGGTCGAAGATTCTTTGACATTCTTCTTTGTATCTTTCTTGATGCTCTGCGATGGAAAACCTATTTCCTCTCGAGAACTTAGTCATTCCTTCTTCACCAGCTTTAGCCTTCTCAGTTGAGAGAGTTCGAACAACATCGATTACTTCCCAACGTGACAATTTTTTAATTTCTTCTTCAGGCACTCCAAATTTTCGAAGAAGTGCTTTTGCATTGTTCAGGGATAATCTTCTCAAATCGGCATCAGTACCAGTAACTGTTCTCTTCGGCTGAGCTTCTTGTTCTTCTTTACTGATTGTTGGTTTATTGGGCACTCTGACGTAGGAGAATCCTTCTCCGCATCCAGTCGGATCTGCAGGACCCGCCAATTGCAATAAACATTTTCCCTTCATTGCTTGAATGTATGCACGTGTTGTGTTCCAAGGAGCTACTTTAACCTCATCATCCATTTTCAGCTGCATTTCTTCATCATCGTCGTCTTGTGGAGTGAAGAGGAATTTTTCACCGTAACCAGCATCTTTCAAACGTTGCTCAGCAGCAACCATGCTAAAATATGCACAACACTGTTCTGGCGAAACCATCGCACGAATTTCCTCTTCACTAGGGAGACGAAAGTCTGGCTTTATCACCCACCAGTTGGAATCCATTCCAGTTCTCTTAAAATCTGCACATAATTTAAGACGTTTTCTTATGCTGCTTTCACTGTGGGAGGGAAATGCCTTCTTTATGTCATCCATTTTTATTCTCCTTGGGGTGTCTTGAGACTTCCAGAATAGTCTGTAGATGAAAACTTGAAGGAAATCTCTCACGAAATTATTAGCTCGCTTTGAATTGGGCCCAGGAACTTCGTAAAGTGGACACTCTTGACCTGCAACGAATAACGCATCGATTTCTCTGATGAAGTACTGTTGCCGAGTTCGAATCACCAGGAAATCTGTCTGAGGAATGTTGTGCTCGTAAATTGGAGCTCTGTACATGTTATTTTCGATTGCCTGAATACTCTGGCCTGGAGTGAGAATACCAAGAAATGGACTCGTGTGAGCATACGCTGTCTCTCCGTATTTGTACTTTTGAGGTCCTTGATCTTTGCCGGCTTTCCGTTTGTAATAATTCTTCACTTTGGAACACATGCCAACTTGATTCATCAATGGGGGATGCTCTTCAGAAAATTCAACCAGAACAAGTTCACCATCTTTTCCAGTCAAATCCTCAGGGGTTCTCATAAAAAAGACATCGCCACCCCCTGAAGCTATTCTCTCTTGTTCTCTTTGTTTGGCTTTCTTTTTTATATGCTTTAATAGAGGAAGGACACCATGGGGACCAGGATGAGCTAAAGGACCGTGACTGAACCGCCGTATGGGGGGTCTGTGGAAGTTTCTCAAACGCATGGCCCCCATGTGGGTCTGAACAAATGGAACTCTGAGCTCTACAACAGGTGTGCTGTGTTGAATAAGATTTCCACCACCAACTTTTAGTCTCAAAGTTGTTTCAGAGGATCGTGGCATGTAGTAAGTATCATTGGAGATGTTAAAAGGATCACGATCTGGTGATTTAGGTGGAGGTGGAGGTGCGTCTTCTTCAAGGACGTTAATTACTCCAGCTTTTCCGAGGAGTAGTTTACTCTTTTTCACGTGAGGATGAGGTATTTTTACCTTTGGCGTTGGTCCATTTTCTTTGTGAAGTAAAGCAGGATCAATGTCGTCTGGGATTCCTAAAACAATGTTTTCGTCGTTGGGATCTAGGGTGAGTATCTTTGGTTTTGGTATTTTCTTCATGTTTTCAGCATCCCAAATGACCTCCTCCTCCCACAATCCATAAACAAGTTCTTCATTTTCAACTGGAAATATTGAGTACCAAGTGTCATCGTAATTGTCCTCCCTCTGCTGTTGATGGTTACTTTTCCCCTGAGCTTTATTCTTGTGGGATTGCATATGAAGAGGCGTTGAAATTTGTGATGTTGCTAGGCGTACATTCGAGGCCACTGGAACTGGTGTGCCTTTTCCTGGTTGACTGAATGCCTGGGCAGTTCTATTGCCACTGGATGGCACCCATCCAGCTAAATTATTCTTGCTGTTCAGCTTCTGCATTACCTTATGTTTAATCTCATCACCATTCCAGATAACGTCATCCTCCCAGTGTAATTGGGAAACCATTAAAAAAGCATCGTCTGCAAATGTTTCGTCTTCATCTTGTAGTTTGTCTGTTCCATTAGTTGGCGAATCCTTCTTTTCACCCACTTTAAATCCATAATTGAACCCATCACCAGTTTCGGGTACCTCCAACATATCGTACCATATTTGTGCAGGTCCAAAACGCCAGTCAGCAACTTTCGGCTCCATATCCCCATTTTCCCCAGACTCACCAGCCTTTCTTCCTTGTTCTTTATCCTCCATTGGCATCAACAGTTTGGCCTCATCGTCAGAGGCAATACACTCGGATAGAGACTCTTGACCATAATTCATCTTCCAACCTTTGAACTTGAGTCTCCTATCATCCTGGTCTGAACCAGAGTCTGAGTCACGTGTATCATGATGCCTTTTTTTCTTTCTTCTTCTCCTAACTCCTCGCCATATTTGTGGGAGGCTACTGGGTTTACCTGGGCCAAATAGCCGTGAGAATCTCAGGACTTTGTTCGGCCGAAAATCGGGAAAAATTTCTGTTACGTCGATGTTGGCGTATTTCGAGGGTAACATTGAAGCTAGAGGTGTTTCTAGCCTCCTCTGTCGGGCAACCTCTGCTTCTTCAGGGGTTAAGGAATCTTTTTCTTCCGGTACTGGAGGTGGTGGCATCAGTTGTTTATCCGATTTATTTACATGCTCCTCATCGTCTGCATCGTAATCAATGGAATCTTTCTCTGTTTTTACCGTACCATTTATTCCAACATTCTCCTCGATTATGTCATCCGCCAGTTCATTTATCTCTGAAAAATCCTCAGCTGTTGGCGATTTGTTTTGATAATCAATGTCATCGTTGTCACTCCCATTCTCGAGTTTAATATTTGATTTGTCCTTCTTCTCTGACTTTTCACCATTTGAGTCGTGAGAGATCATTTCATTTAAGAATGAACCCAGACCCAGACGATCAAGAGATGCCAAATGCTGCTTGGCATCATTGTCCAGAATGTCATCCTCCAACTGACCATTTTCATCGATATTACCAAACAGGAAACCCGTCATATTTATCCCGGTCTCATAGTCTCTATCATCGTCATCAGAATCACCCATTATTCCCGTGTTTATGTTATTATGTTTTTAAATTATTGTATGGAACAATCATCACGGTTGATTATCACAGGTTACAAGTGTATTTACGCTATTTCAATATGCATTACACGTCACCAGTTAAATTTATACGCTAGGTTAGATTATCAGCGAATAGTAAATGGGCGCATTTATCATTATATCCACTATATTCACAATCAAATTAGAAGACAAAACACCGTTTCTCTCACAAATAAACTTGGAGCGTATTTAATATGAATATACCGCAACAGCCATTTTAGGGGACTGCATTCAATCGCTAAAAATGCAACATCCCTGTCAAAGAGGATAGACTGAGGTAGAGGCTCAATTCTCTGGGTTTGGACGATCACCGGCTGAAATAAGTATCACCCCATGGGAGGGATGGCACCACGGTCGATCGTCGGTAAAAAGGAGTTGGAGAGGCCGGGGCCTCGGCAGTCCCACTCCGGCTGCTTATTTTATATTTTTCAGGTAAAATAAATTGTTCATTATAGGGAATTATTATTAGTTATTATTAGTTCGGTCAGAGATTATAGGGGAGATGAGCAGGGCCGATGTAAAGTGTTCAAAAGCTAAATACGGAGCGGTGGCGCATGGACTACGATGGAGCGTACGGAACTGTTGGTATGGTAGGGCCCGAGCATAAATTTCTCGATAACCGGAAAGGGGTTCTCAATACGGTAGCTCCTCGCATTTTGTAATAATTATCAGGAATGTGAAATCGAACATATTATAATCAATAGTATAATGAATGCAGAATCTAATGATCTAAAAGTCTTTTCCTTTTTCTCGACATATTTATTATTGACACGTAGGTGAAAAAATTCATAGAAAAACCCAGCGCTGTCGCAGGAAAACTATAGTTTTCCAGTGATTCTATTGAATAATTGTGCAGATTTTGTTTTTTTTTTACTATAGTAATCTTCGATTATATATATTTATTCCCCCCTGAGTGAGAAAGGAATATGTATCGCGCTCGCTCCCACTCATTGTCGTCTGAGTTGCGTTGGCACGTACCCGTCCTCCGCCAAACTTAACGAGTGCGAGTGAGAAAGAAAATGGAGAAGGAGGACAGAGAAAACATTCCAACTCGTTTGAACGGTTGGAACGTTTTCGTTGTTCTCCAGCGATCTACACATAATGGGATTAATTCAATAATAATAGATTAATGAATAAGATTTTTCGCAGATTATTGCGAGATTTAGATGAATGGTTTGCCTCCTTCAGTGACCATAAAAAATTGTCTCCAATCGACAATATGTCCCGATGGAATGGAACGATGTGAATGAATCAAGTATCAATTTGAATCTTTAAAAAATTAATCGAGTGAAAAAAAATCCGGGAATTCCATTCTGACATTTCTCTATTGTCTGTATTTACCGAGAAAAAAAAACGTTGTTCCTAGGAATCGATGTGTCTTTTTTAGGCAGCTGCATTTCTGAAATGCAATGAGCAAGCAATGTTAAAATTAAGTCATTTTG